CACACACACACACACACACACACACACACACACACACACACACACACACACACACACACACACACACGAGTATACAGAAATATGTCATGCAGAAGTCAGCTTTATGGCTTAATCAGTCCTATGTTCAAACACTCACGCTGTTTATTCTTCCTCTACAATGGACTTGAGCAGTTGTGTTAGATGGACATAGCTGTACAGCTTGAGTATGAATAAGCAAAGGTCAGGACTGTAGGGCTTTCAGTAGCAAAACAGTCACCAAGTGTACCTGTATGGAGCATCTATTTCTAGTTTTTAAGTAGACTTGTTGAAAGTGTATGGAGAAAGACTTTTTCACTCTCATCAAGTTCTTCTCATTTTTCCAAATAATAGACACTTCTTGAATCCCCTGATGTACCTGCTTCACAAAGTAACAGTTGTTTCTCTCTTCTCCCAGTTTCTTCCCCCTTCCCCACTCCCCAATTTGGAGTGGTGACAAAGTGGGAAAGGAAAGGAAAAGATGCAAATGCAGAGAAAATGAAGATGGAATGATTCGTTCTTCAAAGCTTAACTGGATTTCTTGCTTTATATTTGGTTATTTCTAGGCTTGACTATTCTGGCTTTCTTAAAAGAAAAATTATTTCCCTGAGTTTATCCTTTTTAAGGCTTAAGCCAGTCATTACCATAGGCATTTTTGGCCATGTTGGCAAATAGCTCTGAATGTTGACTTTTAAATGACTCCATACTTGTTGTTCAGTATGTCCTAGGCACTCAGATATCCTTTAGGTCACAATCATTAAACCATTATTCAAAGACAAAGGGATAACAGTGTATGTAACATCAATTCTTTTTATTTTATTTTATTTTATTTGTGAACATATTGTACAGAGGGATTACAATTACATGGGCAGGATAATGCATACATTTCTTACCAAGCATTGCAGCCTCCTCCTTTGGTAACATCAATTCTTTAGAGAAGGAAAAATGTGAAAGCCACATTCAATTTAGGAATCAAAACTTGTGACACAAACTATTTTATCATAAACAAAATTTCTTTACATTTTAAACTTTGATCTGAAATTAAAGATCATGCAAATATACCTCTGTTGTGAATTTAAAGCCCTCTGAAAAGTCCTTTCTGAATTTTCTTTTGAGGATTTGCACGGATATTTGGATATCCAGTGGGCATTATTGGAAATAATGGAGTTCTCTTTTCTGAATCTGCAAAAAAGGCAAGTATTGATAAAAATGTGTGGGAATTTTGTTTTAACTAAAATCAAAAGTCACATGATGAATTAAAATGCATGCATAAAATCTGTGTGATGTTTAACTGAATAGCATCCAACAGCACTGTGCCCTCATGGGTGCAGTGTTAGTGTTGGAAGCAGTTCTTGTGGTGCTTTACATTAATGTGATGTAAAGAATTACCTGTAGCATAATTAAAAATCAAATACACTCATCTTAGGAGAGTTCTTACGGGATACTTGAATTACTATGTTGGGAATGTATATACTCCCAAGAAAGGGAACACTTGCTTGAAAGTGCCTGTTTTTCAGGACTTCCTATGCTGTAGGGATTCAGGCATGCTATTCAGGGATGCTGAGATGTGATCTGTTTATTCTCTTCTGTCCTACCATCTGGTTGTTTATGTTTTACTTCCTGGAGCTAGGAAGTCTTTGGTCCTGGGGTTCTGACTTTTTTTTTTTGCTAGTATTGGGGCTTGAACTCCTGAGTTCAAGACTGGTGCTCTACCATTTGAGCCACACCTCCAATTTGGCTTTTCACTGATTAATTGGACATAAAACTCAGATTTGTCCATCCCAGACTGGCTTTAAGCTGTGATCCTCAGATCAAAACCTGAGTGCCTAGGATTATTACAAATGTGTACGTTTTTATTGTGATTTAAAGGGAGGAATTTTCCTGTGTCTTTCAGCTTAATATTTGATTTCAAAGGTCATTGTCTGGGATTTATCTAATCTTGAGTAAATGTAATCTATATGCTTTGGTGAAACTCCTAAGAAAAAATTTAATCTTTTCTATAAACGAGGTTAAGTGTTTCTTGTAGCGATGAGGCTCTTTTATAACCCAACTGAGGAATTCGGTGAAATGTTTTATTAATATATCAGTTTCTAATTTTACTGTCCTTTATTATTTCCTCAACTCAACTATAAAAAAATGAAAAAAGTAAAAATAAAGAAAATTAATGTCAACCATAATCATATCATGAAGAACCTTTTAATAACAGTTCATTAGGTAGTATTAGCTACTGGGATCAGGGTTTGAGCCCTCTCTTGTAGGAAAGTCATTTAGACCAACCTCCTCCCCTAAAGTTGGTATTAACATGCATAGGGAGATTTTGCTTATTTTTATTTATGTTTATTTATTCACTTATTTAGTACTGGGCCTGGGGCTTAAACTCAGCCTGGGTACTGTCCCCGAGGTTTTATGCTCAGGGCTAATGTTCTACCACTTGAGTTACAGTTCCACTTCTAGCTTTTTGGTAGGTAACTAGAGATAGAGTGTCCTGGACTTTCCTGTCTAGGCTGGCTTCAAACCTCGATATGCAGATTTCAACATCTTGAGTAGCTAGGATTATAGGTGTGAGCTACTGGTGCCTGGTTTAGCCTCATTTAATAATATAAAGTATTTTTCCAAATATTTTTCCTGAGATGATTTTTAGTGAGAAGCACATAATTATTTTAATAGAAGAAATTCAGCCTGGATGTGGTAAAACTGGTCTAAAATACTGGCTATCCAGAAAATGGAGATAGGAAGGTTGGAGGTTTGAGGCCTCTTGCAAAATTGCAGAACCCTGTCCAAAACAAATGAGAACAAAAAGGACCATGAGCATAGACTAGTAAGTGGTAGAATGTAAGATGCCAAGTTTCACCCCAGTTTTCCCCTGTCCTCCCTAAAATGGGGCAGGACCAGATAAATCACCGATTTGCCCACTTGTTACACATAAACCCAGAATGTTATACTTGGCCCCTGTCTGACATTTCATTTAACTAAAATAAGCCCCCAAATCTTTATGATTCCTCATCCCTGAAAACATAGTCATCCTGATGTTGAACACTTACTTTGCAATTTTGTACTGTCCAGCAGAGCTAGCAGAGTAAGCCTAAAGGAAATGGTTGACAAGCATTTCTTGCTCTAATAGAATTTAGAAGACAGGAAAAAAGCACTAGCTATAGGTCTAGTCATTAACCTAAACTCAAAACTAAAAACATTGTCAGTGCTCACCTAATCTAAACATCCCATTTCATTTGAGCATGTTAGTAAGAAAGGTTTGTATTTTGTCATAATGTATGAAGGAATGGTTAGCCAATGGTCATTAAATAGGGTCAGGCACTGGTGGTTCACACTTATAGTCCTGACGACTCAGGGGGATTGAGATTTGAGCCATCCCTGGTAGGAAAGTCTGTGAAAATCCTATCTCTAGGATTACCCATCAAAAAAGCTGGAGGTAGATGTATGGTTCAAGAGGTAGAGTGCCAGCCTTGAGCAAAAAAGTGAAGCAAGAGTGTGCAGCCCTGAGTTCAGTTATTAGAAAATTTATTACTAAGTCCAGCAATTCCTGAACAGTGGTTGGCTTTCAGCCACATATTATTGATTGTATGGGTGATTATACCAGGCAAGGTCTTGTGTACACCTGTGTGTCCTGTTGGAATGGACAGCATCTTTGATGGAAAGAGCAGCCAAAGGTTATTCACTCTTCACTCTGTCCCAAACTGCAGTTTTGTTGGATGTAAGATGATCATGAACCTTTAATGCCCTTTTATAAAGGACTTCTGTTGTTTGCATCTAGGGTGCTCACTTCATCCAGTTGTGTTGCCAAAGAAATACTCCTCTGCTGTTCCTTCAGAACATCACTGGTGAGGAATCGTTCATTCAGCTTGGTTACGTTTACTCTGGGAAGGTTCTATTCGATATACTTTCTACTAGGCTCTCTTTAAGGGTCAACCTTTTTTTTGGTCAGTGCTGGGGCTTGAACTCAGGGTCTGGGCATTGTCTATGACCTCTTTTACTTAAGGCTATATCACTCTACCACGCTGAAGCACAGCATCACTTCCAGTTGTTGAGTGATTAATTGAAGATACGAGTCTCATGGGGACTTTTCTGCCCTGGCTGGCTTCCTGAGTAGCTAGGATTACAGGTGTGAGCCACTGGTGCCCAGCTCAAGGGTCAACATTTTACTTCATGAATACTTTAGTTTCTGAGGGGATGATCCATTCTTTCACTATTTTGGAAGGAAGGTGGTTTTCATATAGAGGCTTATTATGAACCTAGGCTTGTACAGAACATGTGATCTTTCATCAGCCTCCCAGATGCAGGAATTATAGTAGTATATACCATACCCATTAAAATTACCTTTTTTTTTTTTTGGTCAGTCATGGGCTTGAACTCTGGGCTTGGGCACTGTCCCTGCACTCTTCAGCTCAAGGCAAGTGCTCTACCGCTTGAGCCACAGCACCACTTCCAGTTTTCTAGTGGTTTATTGGAGATAAGAGTCTCACGGACTTTCCTGCCTGGGCTGGCTTTGAACCATGATCCTCAGATCTCAATCTTCTGAGGAGCTAGGATTACAGGCGTGAGCCACCAGCACCTGGCTTATCCATATATATTTTTTTTAATTCAAGCAGTTTCTCAGTTTTGTGCATCACAAACACAGGCAAAAGAAGTGCCATCCCTGGAGACCTGGGAGCAAAAGAAGAAGCAGGAAGCCTGGCTATTGAGTCGGGTAGGGACTCCTAGCACCCAGTGAAACAATCTTTATTTCATCAAAGTTTTAAAGCATGCTGCAGCCTTCTGCAGATATAGATAGATAGATAGATAAATAGATAGATTTTTTTTTTTTTGTTGGTTGTGCGAGTTGAACTCTGGGCCTGGGAGCTGTCCCTCAGCTCTTCAGCTCAAGGCTAGCGCTCTACCACTTGAGCCACAATCCCCTTCTGTTTTTCTGAGTGGTTTATTAGAGATAAGAGTCTCATGGTCTTTCCTGCCAGGGCTGGCTTTGAACTGCTATCCTCAGATTTCAGCCTCCTGAGTAGCTAGGATTACAGTCGTGAGCCACCACGCCTGGCTGCAGTAATATTTTAAACTAAGTCATTGGAGACTGGAGACCTCCCAATCTGCATACTCACAGTCCTTTCTCCTAGCTGGCCATGTCACATGGCTACCAAGCTGCTGCTTTGAAAAGGTTTCTTGACAACAGATTGCCTCTTTTTTGTTGGACAAAGTTTTAGTGTGCATCCTAATTACCTGTTGTAAGGAAATTTGAAAAGTGGTGAGAGAAAAATCTTATTTTACCTGTTAAATCACACTTTTTAGGAGTGTACTAAACATAGGTGTTTTGTTAGGGTGAGAGACCAGTAATTAGTTTCAGCCAAGGTGATGTACTGTGGTGCTGATTTCTGCACATTCATTTCATCACCTGGGCCTTTATTTCTGTCCAGGATTCATGGTCGGGAAAGAATATGAAGCCGAAGGAATTGCCAAGGATGGGGCCAAGATGGTGGCTGCTGTGGCTTGTGCCAAAGTGCCTAAGATCACCGTCATCATTGGGGGATCCTATGGGGCTGGAAACTATGGGATGTGCGGCAGAGCATATAGGTGAGTGATTGTCATGATTTCCTCTGAAAGAAATGTTTCAAGGATTATTATAAATTTCCAGTTTATATCAGGCTTGAGGTATAGAATGGCATTCACAAATCTTGATTGATTATATCCTAATTTATGTCATCTCAAGAATGAAATTAAGGGCTGGGAAAGGTGGCTCAGTGTTGGAGCGCTTGCCTTGCATTCTTGAGGCCCTGGGTTTGATTCCTCAGCACTACATCAGCAGAAAAAGCCAGATGTGCTATAACTCAAGTGGTAGAGCACTCGCCTTGAGCTGAAGAGCTGAGGGATAGCACCCAGGTCCAGAGTTCAGGCCCTACGACTGACCAAAAAAAAAAAAAAAAAAGAATAAAATTAAATTTAATGCCAGTGGCACTTTTTGGAAACAATTTAAAAGGAGAACCAGGAAGTTTTGATAATGAAAATCTTCCATATGAGACTTGTGCGATGCAACCAAAATCTTGCATTGATCTCTTGGACTAGAAAAGAAGATTGAAATGCAACCAACCCAGTGAAGCAGTGTAAGCATAAGGTAGAAGAATCAGTAAAGCCTGGGTGCTAGTGCCTCATACCTATAATCCTATCTGGTTAGGAGGCTGATATCTGAGGGTGGAAGTTTGAAGCCAGCTAGTCAGGTAGCATAAAGACACATATGACCAGGTAGGAGCCAGAAACAAGATGGCTACAGACAATAGCATTAAAAAATATTTTTTCTTTTAAATTATTAAGTAGTTATACACAGAGGTTTCAGTTCAACATGTTAATTTATGAGTACAGTGCATCCTGATCAGTGTTATCTCTTCTCTGCACACCCATCTATCCTTCTGTTTTCATTTTTGTTGTTACTTGGGCTTGAAGTTCTCACTTTGGACTTTTTTCTGGTTAATTGAACATAAAAGTCTCCTGGATTTGTCTGCTCAGGCTGGTTGATGACAGCCTTCTGAGTAACGGTTTATAGGCATGAGCCATCAACACCCAGGCAGATAATGGCATGATATTATGAATGCTTTTTTTTATTTTTTACTTATATTTTTTTATTGTGAAAATACTGTACAGAGGGGTTACAATTACATGGGCAAGATAATGAGTACATTTCTTATCAAACTTTGTAGCCTCCTCCTTTGTTTCTCCTTCCCATCCCTTTCCATTCTCCCCCAACCCCCTCAACACCCCCCCCGGCTATGAATACTTTTTTTTTTGGGGGGGGGTCCAGTCGTGGGGCCTGAACTCTGGGCCTGGGTGCTGTCCCTCAGCTCTTCAGCTCAAGGCTAGCACTCTACCACTTGAGCCACAGCGCCACTTCTGGCTTTTTTCTTTTTGCTTATGTGGTGCTAAGGAATCGAACCCAGGGCCTCATGCATGCAAGGCAAGTGCTCTACCCCTGAGCCACCTTCCCAGCCCCTATGAATACTTTTATAATGGAGAACCTAATTATATCCTCATCTTCAGAGATTGGACTTATTGGGCTCTAGGCATCGGTTGTTTTTGTTTGTTTTTTGCCTTTAGTAGCACTGGGGTTTGAACTTGGTCACCTTGATTACTAGGCAGGTGCCCTCACACTTAAGCCATATCCTAGCCTTAGACCAAGATTCTCTTACCTTTGCTTTCTATATAACTGGGGTTATAAGCATACACTATCACACTCAGCTCCACTTGTTTTGTTTTGGTTCATTGTCACCGTTGCTTTTTTTTTTTTTCCTACTATTGAGCCTGCGTGCTGTCTCTTTAGCTTTTTTGCTCAAGACTGGCATTCTACCACTTGCCAGCTTTTTGCTGGTTAATTGGAGATAAAAGTCTTACGGGCTTTCCTTCCTTGCTGGCTTTGCACCATAGTCCTCAGATCTCAGTCTCCTGAGTAGCTAGGATTACTGGCATCTGGTAGCATCTGCTTTGCTTGTTTTTCAAGGCTCTCAGATAATTATACCATGTAGCTGGAAGAACAATTGCTAAATTAACAGGCAAATAGGGCCTCTGAAAGATCTCTATGGGTATTGGATTAATTATTCTTTCTTTTCTCCCAGCCCAAGATTTCTGTACATGTGGCCAAATGCTCGTATCTCAGTGATGGGAGGAGAGCAAGCAGCCACTGTGTTAGCCACAGTAACAAGGGACATAAAAGCCCGGGAGGGGAAGCAGGTAGGTGACATTTTTTTTTTTCCTCTGTGTTTGGCCTTCACAGTGAATCCGTGGAGCACAGCACCTAGCCTCATTCTGTTGTTACCACAGGGTTATGCTGACCTGAAGCTGTCTGAGCATTCAGGTTCACCCATGCATCTTCTCTTCCTTTTTTCAAGCCATTGCATTTGATTTACCTTTGGTCATTTATAAATTTTTTAAAACTGTCTAGGTGAGTGCCTGAGGCTTAAAGATGTTTCATTCTTAGTCATTTGCAGTTGGTGAGATTCAAATGAATCCAATACTTCTTTTTATAGCTGAAAGTATGAGAATTTTATTTTCTCCATTTTGCTTTTAGATCGTCAGTAAGAATCCCATGAGTAGGAGGGCTCAGTCATCTACTGCAAATTGAATCCTGTTACAGTCTTAGAAAGGGCAGTGGAAACTCTATGCAAGGCAACTTAATAAGCAGCTGCTTTTTATGTGGATTTTTTTGTTTGTCCTGGTTAGAAATTCTTGTGAGATTTGCATTTTTGTTAATAACTTTTAACCTTTTCAAGTTAGCACCAAGCCTTAAAATGATTACTGTGTGCTCCTAAAGTGGGCATCATGTGGAAGAGGCCCTTCCTCTCCAGGCTTTGAGCTGGCATCAGGGTCATTCATTTTTAATGCTGGGCTTGTGATGATGGGATGATATAAAAGCCATCTTGAAACCATGTCTTGAAATCCCAATTATGTTTGTCAAGAAGGCTTAAATTGAGGTTGTAGATCCATCTGTATCAGTCATTATCAATGCATATGTATGTGTCCAGGTGGGTGGGCCCAAGATGGGGACATGTAGTAGAGATATGGAGTTGAATAGATGGGATATGAAGTTCTATCTGATACTTTGAAATCATCACGTAAGCTTTGTGAAGCCTAGAACTACTAAGCAGTAGCTCTTTGATAAATTTTCATGTGATATGCAGATATAGGTACTACTTACTCCTTTTATATGTGAAAGGTAAGTAGAATTGTTCTCCCTCCATATTCTTGGTCTATAAAATGCTGTTTAAGTTTGTATATAAAATAGGATTAAGATTTACTTGAAATAAATAATTTGCTTCTGGGAAGTGGTGCTGTGGCTCAAGCGGTAGAGCGCTGGCCTTGAGATGAAGAGCACAGGGACAGTGCCCAAGTCCAGAGTTCAAGCCCCACGACCAAAAAAAAAAAAATTGCTTCTGGTGTGGAATTTCTTTTTTAAAGTTTTGTTTTGTTTTGGATTTTGTTTTTCTTGAGATAAGGTCTTATGTAGCCCAGGCTATACTTGAATTAATAATTCTCTGCTTCTGCTTCCCCAATTTTGGCATCACAGACAAGTACCACCATGTTAGCTGGAATTTGTTTTCGTTTTCGTTTTTGCAGTTCTGGGCAGGGCCTGTTGCATGTTAGGTAAGTTCTATACCCACAACCAAAATGAAAATATTTTTCAAGATTTTTATATTCAAGATTACTATAGATTTTTAATACTGAATTATCACTTGATCCTCATAATGCTGATAGGAAAGCCACTAATATGTGTATGCACACATGTGTACCTGCCACCTGCCAGTCTTAGGGCTTGAACTACTCAGGTCCTGGGTACTATCCCTTAGGTTTTTTGTTAAGGCTGGTGCTCTTGCACTTGACTTACAGCTCCACTTCCAGCTTGTTGGAGTTAAGAGTTTCACAGATATTTCTGCCAGGGCTGGGTCAAACCACAATCCTCAGATGATAGCCTTCTGAGTAGTTAGGATTATAGATATGAGCTACCAGTCCTCAGCCAAAGGCCACTCATTTTTAATAAAGGAAAAAAATATCTATGCTACCTAGGAAATTGATTATAGTTTTGTCTATTTTGGATGAAAATCTTCTACTTTACCTTTCTTGTGGGAAGTATTTTTCTATTATTATATTTAAGTAGATGTACAAAGGATTTTCCATTTAACAAAGCAGTTTATAAATACAGTGCATCATAATCATTGTCATCCCTTAACACTCTTCTTAGTTTTGTCGTACATACATTGAATTATTATTATTGTTATTAGTTATGGGGCTTGAACTCAGGGTCTGGGCACTGTCCCTGAGCTCTTTTGCTTAAGGCTAGCACCCTACCACTTTGAGCCACAGCTCCACTTCTGGTTTTCTGTTGGTTAATTGGAGTTAAGAGTCTCAAGGACTTTCCTGCCCAGGCTGATTTTGAACCATGATCCTCAGATCTCAGCTTCCTGAATAGGTAGGATTATAGGCATGAGCCACCAGTGCCTGGCTTACATTAAATTCTTTCCTTTATTCACTTTCCTCTTGACCCCACCCTACCCCTTTCAAGTACGACCTTCTTAGTGTTTATTTTGTTGAATTTTGCCTTTGCCTTTCTACGCAGTTATACAATTTGAGTTCTCCCTGTCTTAAGCAGAGGCTGCTAAGTTTAATGTGGCTCTTTGGTTATATTCTATAACTCACTTCCATTATTGTTCCATGCTGGAATATGATCTGTAATACCCTTAATTTTTACTTTCAGTGACCTCAGGACATTGTCTTTAATAATGGACTTGTAAAAATGTGCTACTTTGAAGCTTAGGCTCAGTCAGATTATGTATATCAGCAACACTTGAAATCTTTTCATATTATGTGAATGTTAGTAGTACTAATCTTTTTTTTTTTCCTTCAGTACTTGCTAAGTAATTCTCTACTGAGCCACAACTCCAGCCAGTTGTGGTGTTCATTCTTATTCATGAAATCTTTTTTGTGGTTACCTAAGTGCTTTCAGTTGTTCCAGTAAAGCTGATTTACTCATATTCTCTTTCAGTTCTCCAGTGCTGAAGAAGCAAACCTAAAAGAGCCTATCATTAAGAGATTTGAAGAGGAAGGAAACCCTTATTATTCTAGTGCCAGGTAGGAACCAGAGCATCACTCACTCTACATTGGGAATTTTGGCATTCAAATGGGCAGTTTTACAGAGACCTGAGCAGCTGGCATGGTTGGCCTGTATAGAAATATAAAAATTGTGTCTGGCTAGGTGTGATGACAGACACCTGAAATCCCAGCCATAGGAGGCCGAGGCAGGGGGATCATGAGTTTGAAGCCAGCATGACCTACATAGTGAAACTCTTTCTCCAAAAATCAAGATGTCTTGACAAACTTTATATTGTTAGACAATAGTTAACTAGCTACCTTCCTCCCAGTTTTTCAGGGTTATAGATCTATCACCATAGTCTGATTTTACCTGCCCCCTTCCCCCCCCACCCCACCAAACCCATCTCTGGCTGTAGTTGTAGAGTGGTAGGGTCCATTCCTGGACCCTGTGACCTGTAAGCAGAGGTGTGCCATGCCAGGAACTAGGAATAAGAATGAATGGCTATAATCAAGAACTCTAATAACAACAGATGTTGGAGGGGATGGACAGAAGGGAACCCTACTGCATTGTTGGTGGGAGTGTAAACTTGTTCAACCACTTTGGAAAGTAGTCTGGAGGTTCCTCAGAAGACTCCACATAGAGCTCCCCTATGACCCAGCAATCCCACTTTTGGGTATTTACCCGAATGATCACAAACAAGACCATACTAAAGCTACCAGAACAACTATGTTTATTGCAGCATTATTTACCATAGCTAAGATGCCCCTTAGTAGATGAATGGATCAAGAAGATGTGGTATATATACACAATGGAATTCTATGACTCCATCAGAAAAAATGATATTGCCCCATTTGTTAGGAAATGGAAAGACTTGGAAAAAATTATATTAAGTGAAGTAAGCCAGGCCCAAAGAAACATAGGTCCCATGGTTTCCCTTATTTTCAATTACTAGTATATGTCTGAGACAAGCAGAAACAGTCAGATAAGTTGATGTTAGGTGAAATGAACCCCAAGATAAGGACTCAAATGGTTTTTCTTTCTTGCTATTGTTTCTAACATTTATAAGATGATTTCTTTGTTGCTTTGTATGTCCCTCCCCAACGGTATAACCCCTGTTTTCACTGTATTTGATGTTGGTAGAATTTGTGGAGGGGAAGGGAAAAAACAAATAGTTTAAATAGGGGTACAGGTGGACCCATTGCAACAATGAGATATACAAGATGTTAGAAAAACGGTCTTTATAACTTTGGCGCCATGTGGGGCGGGGGGTGGGGGTGGAGATGGGAAGAGATGGGAAGGGAAAACAAGGGAAGAAGCAACAACGCTTGATAACAAATGTACTCATTGTCTTGCTCATGTAATTGTAACCCCTCTGTATGGTATTTTCACAATTAAAAAAATTTAAAAACTCAAATCAGATGCAGAAAAAAAGAATGATAGTCTTGATTGTGCCCCTTTTTTTTAATTTAATTTTTTTTGTTTTTGCTAAAAATGTAGATTCCTGTCATGCAGCTCTGATTATTTTGTTGTTATACCATTTTAAGCCTGAGATTGAACACATATTGGCACTTGGCTAATAAGGGTACTCCAACAATTGGAAGGTGACACTGTTCACAGTCAGGGTCCCTGTGTGGTTCAGCTAATCACCTCTTGCACCACTGCAGCTGTTATTGTTTGTTTTCTATTCCACATAATGAGGTGATAAATCACTCCTGCCTGTCCCTGCCCCAGCTGGAGACTTGCTGGTGTGTGCTTTCAGATCTTTTTTTTCCCCACAATTTCAATGTTCTGCATTTGGAAGACAAACCTAAGCTTCCTATCTTTGATCTTTTGGTCACGATGAAAAAAAAAAGTTTTTAAAATTAGGATATGCTATGATTTATACCATTTACTGGTGAGGGCAAACTGGAAAGAAGGGAGAAAAGAAAATCCAGAGTTAGAGTTAATTTTACTTAATAATACCTATTTGGGTTATACCTCTCTTGGCACTGGGGAAGAGAGACTAGCATACTGATTTTCAACATCATCCTTAATTTGAGTTCAAATAGTAACATCTGGAATTTTTGTTTAAAGCCTGTTTGTCTTCTTGCTGATGGTATTTTTCAGATTTATAGGTATATTTATTTTGTAGGTATATTTATATAGGTGTATTTATACTTAATATTTATAGATATAGGTTCATTTAATTGAGAATAAAAAATTTTAAATCTTTAACTTGAGAAATAGACATTCCTCATTTTGCTATTACCCCACAGGTTTATATAGTGGGCAATAGAAGGAAAGTAATAGAAAGCAATGTGAAACTTTGTTATATTTTTTGATGGTCATGGGGCTTGAACTCAGGGCCTGGGCACTGTCTCTGAACTCTTTGGACAAGGCTAGTGCTTTACTACATTGAGCCACAGGTCCACTTCCAGTTTTCTGGTGATTAATTGGAAATAAGAGTCTCAGGAGCTTTCCTTCCCAGGCTGGCTTTGAACCATACTTCTCAGATCTCAGCGTCCTGAGTAGCTAGGGTTACAGGCATGAGCTACTGGTACCCAGCTTTTAAAAAAAATATAAAGTTGATGTATAGAAGAATTGCAGTTATATAAGTTAATGAGTACATTTTCTGTTTGGACAATGTTACCTCTCCGTCTCTACCAGTTTTTTCCTACCTCCCTCCCACAAATTGTATAATTCATTTTCAACATAGTATCTAGTCACATGAGACTTTAAGGTGAAATATAAACTATGCATTATAAGCTTACCGTGTTTTTTTATATAAGGATTGACTGAAATACTCAGACATAATTGAAATATAGAGCATCAATTACTAAGTGTGGTAGGTGCACACCTGTAACCTTAGCTCCCAGGAGGCTGAAACAGTTTGAAGCCAGTCTGGTCTATATAATGATACCCGGTCTCAAGAAACAAAAAGAGAAAAATGGGACTATCTTGTGGGAGCAGTTAATTTTTTTGTTCTGGATAAAGTAAGTCATCTATTGAGAAAGATTGCATCCTTTGTTTTCATCTAAAATTACTTTACTGGGCTGGGAAGGTGGCTCAGTGGTAGAGGTGCTTGCCTTGCTTACATGATGCCCTGGGTTCAATTTCTCAATACCACATAAACAGATAAAGCCGGAAGTGGAGCTATGGCTCAAGTGGTAGAGTGCTAGCCTTGAGCTGAAGAGCTGAGGGACAGCGCCCAGACCCAGAGTTCAGGTCCCATGACCAGCAAAAAATAAATAAATAAAATAAAATAGCTTTACTGGATTACATGCAAGGTAGGAATGCAAATGGCCAAGACATACTTATCTTTGGAAATAAATATTGTAATATGGAAAAGTTCTCTATTAATTTACAGGTACAAATTCTATTGAGACATTTGGTGGCCTGGAGATAACACCTTTGGCTTAGGAGGCCATCTTTGGTTTAGTAAATCTTACCTTACTAGCAGTTCCCTGGCTTGTTTGGGCATGACATGGTAGATCTGACTTCAGGAAAGTTGATTGTTACCTGTGGCTGGTGTTTTTGTTTTTGCAGCTCTGTAAGGCAAGTTATCTATTACTGGGCCACATGTCACATAAGTAACATGTCACACACATGTTATCTATGTCACGTACCAGGTGCTTCTGCTCAGTTGTTATTATATTTGATATGACCCTCTAGCCCAGACACCATTAACCAGCCCTTCATCATTATGTTGCTGCAGACTGCAGGCTTCAGTGCGTCATGTAATTGATTCATCTTGATACAGGTTGTAAGCGTGCTTTACTTTATATTGGCCATTGATACTTTAAGGTCCCTGTTATGGAAGTTTTATGAGCAGAGAGTTGATTGCTGCCTGTTGATGTAAGAAGGTTTAAAATTAATGTGCAAGTGTTGGAAGCAGACTGCTTGAAGAAAACAAAACTGCCACCTGTGATGGATGGAAGAAGTGATATGTCTCCTTCATTGTTCTCTATAAATTTGAGCTTGCCAATGAAAAGCAAACTAAAGTTTCTGCTTAAAACTTTCTTCTGAAAGTGGTTTAAGGTTGCTTATTTCTTGATGTAACAAAAAACAAAGGGCTCTATTTAAAGGTATTTAAGTTCTTAATGAAATATATTGAAGCCTACTTAGTAATTTTCCAGTTCGCTATGTGTTTGGGAGAATATAAGGGTATGCCATTGCCAGGGAAGGTTCTGGTCTAAGATTGTAACACTGTGGGGTGTTCCTGCCTCCAAATTAATAATCTCATTTGGTATGTTTGCAGAAACAAAAAAATTTCCTGAAATAAGTAGAAATGTTTTTATTTTTATTTTATTTCTTTATTTTTTTTTTGGGGTCCGGTCATGGGGCCTGAACTCTGGGCCTGGGCGCTGTCCCTCAGGTCTTCAGCTCAAGGCTAGAGCTCTACCACTTGAAGTAGAAATGTTTTTAAACAAGGGATTACTTTGAGATTCTTGTAGTAAGTAGTTCTCAAGGCTTTATGGCCTGGGGTGAAAGTCGCATTATTTTTCTCTGTTCTTCCTTTCTCTTGAGCATGATTTCTATTAGAACATTCTAGCACTGAGGTATTAATTGGTAGAGCCACGTGTTACCTGAAGTAAACCCTGGTTGTCATTGCTGGTAATGGAGTGTATAAATGGTGGTAGTTTTGTGGTAAGTTCCTAGTAACCTATTTTTCATTCTTTTGGCAGGCTGTGGGATGATGGCATTATTGATCCAGTGGATACTAGACTGGTCCTGGGTCTCAGTATTAGTGCAGCCCTCAACGCACCAATCCAGAAGACTGACTTTGGAATCATGAGAATGTAACCATATTATAAAATGTGTTCTGTTGAACAGGTGCCAAATATTTAAACCACATTTTTTTGCCTTAAAATTTTAAATCTTTAAATAAGCGGCTGTTACACTAATTTTTTCTTAGTGCAATTTTCTTTTTGAAACTTGTTATGTAGCCCAGACCATACTGGCCTGGAACTGGCTATGTAGCTCAGGTTGGCCTCAAACATGGAGTATACCTGTCTGTGCCTCCAGAATGCTGGAATTATCTCCTGTGCCACCATTCTGGCTGTATTGTGCTTCTTTTTCTTAGCCCAGGAGTTGGGAGGAAAGAGGCCCAAGGCCTAGTATAGTGATAGGTGAGCACTTTACCAGGGCCTAGTAGGTGATAGGCATGCACTTTACCATTTGATTGATATTTTCTATTTCCTCTAAGACTGGCACTCTACTACTGAACTCACAGCTTCACTTCTCAGCTTTTTGCTGGCTAAGGATGTGTCTCATGGACTTCCTTGCCTGGGCTGGCTTTGAACCATGATCCTTAGATCTCAGCTTTTGAGTAGCTAGGATTACAGCAGGCAAGAGCCATTGGTGCTTGGCTTGTATTGTACTCTCGTACCTTTAAAAAAATGGTTGAAGAAGTGGCATTGTGGCTCAAAGTGGTAGAGTGCTAACCTTGATTGAAAAAGCTCAGGGATAGCTCCCAGGTCCTGAGTTCAAGCCCCATAACTGAAAAGAAAAATCACAGGTTATTTTTTTGGTGGGCATCAGTTCCTCTCTTTTAAAGTCCTTAGAAAATTTTTCTGGGTTGGTTCCATATGGAAAATGGGGAACTGATGCCCACCAAAAAAATGGCTCAGTTTTACCACCCATGGAATGAAGAAAATAATTTGTAATTATCCTTTCTGTTCCACAAACAATATGAAAAGTTATCTAACTGAGTATTCTAGGATTACTGAGATTTTAAATTTAAAGTTGTATTTCTACTAAATGTTTTGTTGATTATACTAGGTGATATTTCATCACACTTTTTAGAAAGCATCTGTTACCTTTCCTTTTTTCTTACATTTCTTTTCTTCTGATAGTAGGTAGACTCCTTATTGTCCGCACTATGGGCTCTCTTTACACATTCTCTTCTTACCTTGCCTTTTCCTGGCTTGATGGCCGTGTTGCTGGAACCAATGAGTTCCCTAACCTTTCAAATGTAACTGTAGCATTCTAGTTGATTGAACATACCTTAGGTTTTATGGCTTAACACTCTAGGTTTTCTACCAATTTCTCAGGCCATTATGTTAGATTCCTTTGGACGCTCTTCCTCCCCTACTAGAAAATGCCAACAATTTGCTCTTTCTCAATGGACTAGGTTCCTATGACAGCACTGCCATACTTTAGTACTGGTACAGTGTTCAGCCTTCTCTCTCTCTTTTTTTTTTTTAACCTTCTCTCATTTAGTGAGCAGGTTGAAATTACTTAAAATATGAACACATTCTAATTCTAAGTGCTTTTATCTTTTCAAAGGTGTAAACAAGACTATTGTTAAAAACACAGAATTGCAAGGAAAGTTTAACCATCAGTAAACTTGGCAGGAAGATTCTTACAGACATTGGGTCTGAAAGTGAAAGACCCAGAGACACGAAATTTATAAATACATAGAAGATTTGCAAATACAATTTAAATTCTTGACCTAACACATAAATTATACATTTTTTACTAATTTGCTGGTTAACCCACACTAACTGTACAAATTAATGGGAGTTACGACATGAATCATTGTGCATGGTCAATGCTCTAGGGTAGTGAAATACCCATGACTGTCCTCCCTGCTCCCACCACCTTTTCTTGTCCCTACTAATCAATCCCCTCCTACTTGTTACGTTACCAGTTTTGTCATATTTCTCATATGGCCAGCTTGTGATACTTGACTTTCTTAGTCTAGTTTATTTTGCTTATTGCCATGATATCCTCCAGTTCCAACTAGTTTCCTGCAAATGACAAGATAACTCTTAATGACTGAGTAATAGTCCATTGCAGACACATATTGTACTTCATTTATACATTCATCTGGTGGTGGTTACCTGCAATGTTTCTATATTTTGCCTACCATGGGCATGCAAGTATCTCTTGACGCTGACATCCTTTCCCTCTGATAGGACTCAGGAGTGGGATGGTTGGAACATATGATATACTTGTATTTTAAAACCTTCAATACATACATTTACTATCTGTCTTCTAACCAATTTACCTTTCATATGTAAAAATTGTAAAACTGATAGGATCTGAGGCACATTAGTTATTGATTACATTGTCAGAAAAGGAAACTTCTCCCTCCTTAGGACACAGTCAGAACATTGGTGCCTTAAAACTTCAGGTGCTACCTGGCACCAATTGTGGACCCCTGAAATCTTAGCTACTCTCAGGCAGCTGAGATCAAAGGATCAAGGTTCAAAGTCAGTCCTGGTAGACAAATCTGAGAGACTCATCTCCAGTTAACTACCAAAAAGCTAGACGTGGAGCTGTTGCTGAAGTGATTGAGCACCAGCTGGTAGTGAAAAAAACCTAAGGATTCAAAGCCTTGAGTTCAAGCCCAACCACTGGCACACAGAACAACAACAACTTGAGGTGTTTGCTTTTTTTCAGTAGCAAGCCGCAGAGATAAAATATTTCTCTAGCATTGAATTGCCATGTATCTTCTGAGAGGTGAAGAACATAAAAAGGATTTCTAAGTAATTGGATAACTCTCATCCCATTGCTCTCTCACATTCTTCTCATCTATCATTTTTCATCAGTCAGCATTTGCTTATATGTGTTGCTAAAATAGATCGTTCACCAAAGCTGTACAGCATTTGTCATCAGAGAGGAATGTATCCATTGTGGATTCCTTGCAAGTGATAGCATATGAGCTTACTGTAAACCTTACTGAAACCAGCACATGTTCTAGAGGAAGAGTAAGATTCCATGTTGCACTTATGGTTTCCCTCACTGTGAATTCTTCTGTATGTCATGAGGTATGAGTTCTCTCAAGGCTTTGCTACACTCACTATATTTTGGAGATTTCTTCTCTCTGGTGTACTGTTACAGTATGTGGGTCTAAGGTTAGCCCTTCTTGAGGAAGATGAGTGGTGTGTTAGATTGTACTGTGAGGAACCGGAAGGGGTGGACTTTGAGGAAAATGGACTCAGCCTTCCTCTTAACAACTCTCTGTGAGTCCTATTGCCACATTTCCTGAGGTTGTGGTTCAGCGTATTCAGTGTATACACATGCTACACACTACCTTAGGCCACCTCGAGGCCATACTTGGTCAGGCAGGCACCACTATTGTCTTGTGGTAGTATACATCACATGCCTCTGGTGGACAGATTGATGCTGCTGTGTCCATGGATGGGCACAAAACTTACGAACAAAGTATTACTGTCATTCCTTTAAAAAAATAATGACCCATTCCTTAAATTTGCATTATTTGATTCTCCTATGAGGAATGAGGTAAGAGTTCCCCATGAAGGCCTTCCCACCCTGATTACGCTTAAAGGGTTTTTCACCTGTGTGATGTCTTCCATGCCATTTAAGACAGAAACGTGCCACTTTGGGTCTCTCCAATGTGTGTGTGTGCTCAGATGGGTGGTAGGAGTGTCCTTCCACACTGACGGCACTAATGTGCTTCCTCCCCTGTGGGAATGATCCTAACATCTGTGTTAAACTCTTTGTACCACTCGCTACACTTAGAAGGCTTCTTTTCCGTGGGGTAAATTTTCATGCCTCTGAGTTACCAGAATCTTGAACACTCCCACATCCCTTACTTTCATATTGTGTTGTTCTCCTGTGTATTTTTCTGTGAAAATTGAGGGAAGATTCACATTGGAAAGCTTGCTCATGCTGTTTACAGCAGAGGCTTTTTACCAGTGTGAATAGCTCTGTTCTTTGAGACTTGAACATTCCCTGAAGACCTTCACAGTGAGTACATATATGTCGTTTCTTACCACTATGAGTTTTTTGGTGTACAGTAATATTAGAGCTCACTCTAATAAAAGTTTTCCCACATTGATCACACTTGCAAGGTTTTTCTCCAGTGTGTATTCTTGGGCTCACTATAAGAGATGTCTGCTTCATAGTTTTCTACAGTGGCTGCATCTAGTAAATTTCTCTTTTGTAGCTTCTCTTATGTCTGTTAAGATATGAAAGAGTGCTGAAGATTTTCCCACAATCATTGCAGTAACAATTTTTCTCTAGAATGGGTTAGCTTGTGCTTGGTAAGATTAGAGAGCTTTAAATTTGTTGCATTCATTATTTTACCTGTGGTATAGTATTTTTACCTTGTATGATTTCATGCTAAGAAGTAAGCTATCTCTAAATATTTCTCTATATTCAGCATCCATAAGATTTCTCCTTAGAGTGAGTCTTCTTATATCTCCTAAAGTAGGAGCTGGAGCAGTGTGAGTAATGCACATTTGAAGGAATTGCTTCCATGTGTTGGCTCCTTTTCCTTACTGTTGAGTCTTTTCTTTTTACAAACTATCTTGAATAGTTGTGGTTGAGTGGTCATAAGCAGACTCATTACCATGTGCACAGGAGTCTTGGTGAATTTTTCTCTTCGCTGTCCTCAGCTTACTATCTTGTCGTTTGAAGGGGTTTGCTGAATTGAAGTTTCTGTAGTTCTCTAGTATCTTTTCTATATAGAGATTTCTTTGTGCTGAATATATCAGTTCCCATTCCTTGGTAAAATCCATGGCTATATCCTTCAAAATCACTTAATTTCTGTAACTCAGAGTGGAGGTCTTCCACTTCTGTGACCCTCTGGTGTGTATAAATGAAGTCTTGAAAAGACAGAGCAGGGAGGATGGGCATGGGCATGTGTCTGCCATTTTGCAAGTCTGCAAGAAAATGCACCTAGACTGCAGCTAGGAGAACTAGACTGCAGCTAGGAGAACTAGGCTGCTGCTTTTTTTTTTTTTTTTTTTTTGCTTCTATGAGCCATTCTAGTAAAGGTTCAAGACACAAAGAAATCCATGTGTAATCAAGGAAGAGTTTAGCTCAGACTACTGCTCTCATCATTTCTGCCTTGCTTTTCTTGGAGAAAAGCAAAAGCACTCTTTTTAATTGTAACAAGAGACAGCTTTTATTTTAACTATTTTCTTTTTTATAGTGGTACTGAAGTTTGAACTCAGGTCTTTGGGCAGGCCCAAAGTGCCTGAAGGCAGGCATTTGACTGCTGAGTCAAGCCCTAGGTCTTATTGTAACCATTTTTAGTGTACACTTCAGTGACATTAAGTATCTTCACATTGCTGTACAGCCATCAGCCCCATTCATCTTAGAACCTGTCATTCCCAGCTAAAAACTGTGTACGTTATTTTCTACTCCCCTCTGCTCCTGGCACATCTCTCATGCGTGGGGAGAAGTGGGTACTGGGGCTTGAACTCAGGTCCTTGCACTCTTACTTGGCTCACCACTTAAGCCACAGCTCCCCTTTCAGCTTTTTGGTTAATTAGAGATGAAAGGTCTTACAGATTTTGAACCCCCAGTCTCAGATCTCAGCCTCCTGAGTGGCTAGGATTACAGTTGTGAGCCACCAACACTAACATCTCCTTTTCTTAAAAAAAAAAAAATATTTTTTATTTTTTGTCAGTTGTGTGGCATGGATTCTGGGCCTGGGTGCTGTCCCTGAGCTCTTCAGCTCAAGGTGAGTGCTCTGCCATTTAAGCCACAGCGCCACTTCCGGTTTTCTGGTGGTTAATTGGAGATAAGAGTCTCACAGACTTTCCTGACTGGGCTGGCTTTGAACTGCATTTCTCAGATCTCAGCCTTCTGAGTAGCTAGGTTTACAGGTATGAGCCACCAGCATCTGGCTCATCTTATTTTTAATAGACATGGTTTTATTTCTTGATTGTACCTGCTGATCCATTTCTGCCCCTCTCATGGCATCTGTCTGTAGCTATTTAAGAATCACCTGGCATTCTCCCAGTTCATCCCTGCATTCCCAGTAGTTCTGCTGATAATCTCATGTGGTCTTAGAACAGCCTCCCTTAGTCATCAACTTCTGTGGCTTTTGCCTTCTTTATTTTTATTTTTATTTTTTGGGTCTGGTCGTGGGGCCTGAACTGGGCCTGAGCGCTGTCCCTCAGCTCTTCAGCTCAAGGCTAGCACTCTACCACTTGAGCTACAGCGCCACTTCCGGTTTTCTGGTGGTTAATTGGAGATAAGAGTCTCACAGACTTTCCTGACTGGGCTGGCTTTGAACTGCATTTCTCAGATCTCAGCCTTCTGAGTAGCTAGGTTTACAGGTATGAGCCACCAGCATCTGGCTCATCTTATTTTTAATAGACATGGTTTTATTTCTTGATTGTACCTGCTGATCCATTTCTGCCCCTCTCATGGCATCTGTCTGTAGCTATTTAAGAATCACCTGGCATTCTCCCAGTTCATCCCTGCATTCCCAGTAGTTCTGCTGATAATCTCATGTGGTCTTAGAACAGCCTCCCTTAGTCATCAACTTCTGTGGCTTTTGCCTTCTTTATTTTTTTTTTTGGGTCTGGTCGTGGGGCCTGAACTGGGCCTGAGCGCTGTCCCTCAGCTCTTCAGCTCAAGGCTAGCACTCTACCACTTGAGCCACAACGCCACTTCTGGCTTTTTTTTTTCTGCTTATGTGGTGCTGAGGAATCAAACCCAGGGCCTCAAGCATGCAAGGCAAGCGCTCTACCACTGAGCCACCTTCCCAGCCCCCATTGCCTTCTTTATTGTCTCTTGACTGTCTCCACTTTTGTTTTTTTACCACTAAGGGCTATAAGTGGTCTACTGCATCCTGGCTACCCTAGTCCTACCTGTCCACTCTGGAATTAGAACTTCCTCCTCAAGTACATCCTTGAGCAGCCATACTGCTTAATATCCTTAAGTGGTTTCTACAAAAGTTCTAGCCTCCCATGCTCTTGTGATCTTCATCTTTACTCTCCAGCCTCCCTCTTTGCACTTCACAGAAGACTGGTTCCAGCCATTCTAGATGATCAACTTCATGATCCTTCCTAGTCCTTTCCATCTTAGGGTCTGCAAGGCTTCCTCTGTCCAACTCTTTAACCCTTACCTTTCAACTGAAGCTCTTGCTTTTCTCAGTGAAACATAGCTTCCTTAGGAACGTGTTTGCAACTTCCTGGCTTTCCTCCTATATGCTTTTGTAAAATGTTAAGTTTACTTTTATTTATCACAAATTCGTTAGGTTATCATAAATGTTCTTTCTGCTAGAATGTAAGCTCTGTAAGAGCAAGGACCTTCTGTTTACCCTGAATAAATGGAGAAATGAAGAATCCATGTTGTAATTTATGTCTTCAGGTCATGTAATTTTAAAATTAGGTGATTGATTTTGTGATAGTGCACTTGTCAAGTATTTTTCATAATAAAATGAACATTTCCAACATTTGTGTGTGAATTTCAGTTGAGACAATGTTTGTGTATTGAAAGCCAACTTCTGATTTGGGGCAGGTAGTCAAGTTTTGATGAAGCTAGGATTTTTTCAGGAGAACATTAATATTTTTAATTTTTTTTATTGTTATAAAGGTGATATATGAAGGGGTTACTGTTATATAAGTCAAGTAAAGAGTACATTTCTCTTTGGACAATGTCACCCCATTATTATTTTTTAATTGCTAAAGTTTACTTTTACTTCTCTACTTCTTATTTAAATCCTTGGGGGCAGGACTTCAAGAGAAGTCCGTGTCCTGGGGTCTTATGAGGAAGCTTGCTTTGGAATTGGGCACAAATCATGTCACTCCTCAGTGGCACCAATTGCTTTTCTCCAGAGTTCTCTGCCTTTGCTTAATTTGCTGCCACGAGTCAAAACAGCCCTGCTTATTATTATACAGTAAGCTCATCGCTTGACCAAGTAAAATCTAATCTTGTGTTGGGTACAAACACCTTTAGAGTTAAGAACAGCCATGTGTTCCATTGAGCGCCACATTCCCTGCGTATAGCCAGGAAAGATGGCCACTCACCACAGTTCCAGGTAGCTATGCCTTGAGAAATCCTGTACCCAGGAGGCCTTCACAGGCTCCACCCTGGTGGGAAAATCCTATTAAATGTCTTCAAATTACACTTTGAATGAAAATTCCCATCTGTGCCAGAAAATATGAGGCTTTTGTTGTATACATCATGGAATCTAGATTAAAGAAATGGTCACAAACATAAATGAAGGCCTTTATATGGGGTTGGGGTGGGTTGAGACAGCAGGAGTAGGGAGGGAGGAAATATAGGATTGGGGAAGAATATCATTGTAATTCATTGTGAAAAGGTCATAATAAGCTCATTAGAAAATTGCAAGAGGGCCAGGCATGGTGGCACATGCCTGTAATTCCAGCTACTGGGAGGCATTAGAAAGGAGGATCATGGGCTGAGATCATCCTTTGGGGAAAAAATGGAAAAATCCTATTAGAAAAATGAAAACAAGGGGGAAAAGTGGTAGATCATCTATCTAGTAAGCACTGGGCCCTGAGATCAAATCCCAGTGCTACCAAATAGTAAGTAAACTAAATTGCAATCAATCTGTGAAAGGATGGAGGAGCCAATGAGTAATAGGCCAAATATGATCATTGGTGGTGGTTCTGGGTTTGAACTCAAGATCTTACTTGCTAACTTAGCCATGTCCAGCTCTTATGCTTCAGTTACATTTTGAATAGGACCTCGCATTTATGCCCAGGCAGTCCTGGACTGCAATCCTGTTGACACTTCTGTGTTGCTAGGATAATGTTAAGATGGTCTTGTGAAGTTTTTGCCTGGACTGCCATCAGATCTCAGTCTTCCTGATCTTACTCTCTTGAGTAGCTGGGATTACCGGTGTGAGTTACTACACCTGGTAAGTTAGATAGATTTATTTAACTATCTATTTATTTTGGTGCTGGTCCTCCTGAGACTTGAACTAAGGGCCTAAGCGTGGATCCTGAGCTGCTTTTGCTCAGGCCTAGTGGTCTACTACTTGAGACACAGCTCCACTTTCAGCTCTTTTGTGGTTAATTGGAGATAAGAGTCTCACAGACTTTGCCTGGGCTGGCCTTGAACTGTAACTCTCAGATGTTAGTCTCCCTCATGAGTAGCTAGGATCCACAGGTATGAGCCACCAACACCTTTTTAATATATATAACTTAATAACATACATTTTTTTAACCAAAATAGGAAGATTTCTTATTCATTGTGATTTACAAATATTAGGATGATATGAATTACAGAAAGTTCTCTAAGAAATATAGTTAGCTACTAAATTTGTCTCTGTACTTAGCAAATGGAATGTGACAATTATTTCTATTTTCTCAAGAAATATGTTGTTTCAAGAAATATATTTTCAAATTAGAATTTGTCTAATGATGTGCTGGATAATCATAGCTTTGTGTTGCTTATGACATTTCTCAAAAAACGTTAAGTGCAAGAAATGATGGGAGAGGTTGACACTGTTTTGACAAAGCCCTTTCCACAAAACACTTAACAATTGGTTTTGTTTTTCTTAATATACCTCAAGTTCCCTTGTGTCTGGAATCAGGATGCTGAGAATAAAGCCACATAACTTTTCTCTCCACTTTTTACCTTTCTAAGCAGTTGTGCGTGCCACATAATGAGTCTGTAATAGACAGCAGAAGTAAGCTGGGAGATGAGTTTTTAAACATATAATAAATAGATAAAACATTTTAAACATAATATATTAAAAAGATAAGTAGAATTTTGGGGCATTCTGACTGGTAGCAAGAGGTTTCTGAAAGAAATGAATTCAACATTAGTCAAACAGCTTTAGTAATCACCTTCCTGTATCTATAAAGCAATTAAAAATAACTTGTTTTGAAATTCAAAATTGTGTGGGAACCCAACCCCAAAACTCTCCACAATTCTCTCACCCAGAGAAGACTTGCTAGTATTCATGTTTTCTTGTGTTCTATTCTTTATCTGCTGAAAAATGTTTTACAAAAGTGTATTTTACTCTGTGATGTGCATTTCATTCTGTCGTACTTTTTTGGGAGGTGGGGGTGGGGCTGACACTAGGGTTTGACTCAAGGCCTGACACTTGCTCCATTAGTGCTTTACCACTTGAGCCATACTTCCAGCTTGGTTCTTTGCTAACCGGTTAATTAAAGATGGAGTCTCATGGACTTTTCTGTCCAGGCTGGCTTTGAATTAAGGCCCTCTGGATCTCAACACCCTGAGTAGCTAGGATTACCAGAGTGAGCCACAGACCCCTGACTGCCTGCCATACTTTCTTGTTGCATGATGAATTATATGAGTGACTTAACTGCTTTCCTGTTTTTGGATGCTTGAGTTACTTTTTGTGTCCCACTGCAGCATTACAGGTAGTGCTGCACTGAACTTGTCTAGTTTTTTTTCCTTCTTTCTTTCTTTCTCCTCCCTCCCTCCCTCCCTTCCTTCCTTCCTTCCTTCCTTCCTTCTTGGCATGGGTCTTGAACTCTGGGCCTGGGTGTTGTCCCCGAGCTC